TTTTAAGCGGTGTATAGATAATGGATGGATGGATCTGTGACGTTGCTCATTATTTGTGTTGTCCAACCTTCATGCTAACATACGCAGCACATACAGACAGCTGCTGTAAACATGACGGCTAACGTAGCGAACATTTCATGTTACGTTCACACGGCGAGCGACAAAGTTAGAAAACAGCCCAACGTGGTGAGCTACACTATCACAGAGTCGCTGGATGGGGTTTAATCACACTGAAAACTGGTCAGAATAAGGTGTTCCTCCATTTTTTTGAACATAACAGGACATTGTGGGAAGAGAGGATGGGAGTAGAAATGGTTAACAACAACACACAAGTGGTTGATGCTCCGTTGTGTCGTTGAGGCGCTAAAAAAATCAGCATGGATTGGTAGTAACAGGTATCAGGTGTCAGTTTGTAGCTTCATATCACCAGTTTCCATTAGAAATGACTTGTAGCCCCCATTGACCAAAGCACTCCAGCATTTCACCTTCCTTCTCTCTGCATCTGCTCAAGACCCATGATCTTCTTCACATTCGACAACCCACTGACAGGAAATTGAGAGTCATGTGACCTCAACACTGTGTCATTATCTCATCTATAGATCTAGCATGATGGCATGCAAGGTGAGAAAAGATAAATGAACTGTACGACGTAGAGCGTGTAAGCGTGAAGCTCTGTGCTGGAGGTGGACTGGGAGGTTGAACGATTCGGGAGAAAACATCCTTTTTGCGATTTTTCTGACAGATACAGCGATTTGATTTGTGATGTAATTTTATTTTTAAGTCAACCTTCGGGTCAGTGCTCATTGTGTAACCGACTGGAACATGTGATGGAGCTTTAACACATGAGATAACATCAGAAGTGTGACTGTTACACAAGGAGGGCAGCATGAATTTATAAAACCACTGGCGTGACGCTCTAAAACCTGCGTCACCCTTCGTGCACTTTGGTAAATGCAGCGTTTTTTTAAAATTGCGATTCATTGTTCAGCCCTAATGCGCTGGCGGATTTACAGACGCGTCTCCAGCTGACTGGTTCGCCGACCAACTGGACAACCTGCGTAGACGTCTACAGTCGCGTCCCCAAAAGCGTCATGAAGTCATGTGCTGGACTCGAAGCAAAATGTTGTGAAACAGTGAATCTGCACTCTGGATTTTAAAGCACCTGTTACATGATTTTAGCTCTATTCATTCAATCAGTGATGCAGATTTAAAGGTTAATGTGCACACACTGCAAAAAAAGAACAAAATCATCTTCACTGAATTACCTCAGTTTGTGTGTCTGTCTTCAGAAACACAGCTCTGGCATTAACAGGGCTGTTGGGATGATTCATAACTGCAGTCGCGTCTCACGTGTTCTACTTTCATGTCAACAGTCATGTTAGAAGTGTAGGCGTCAGTTTCGTCCAAATTGTGAATGTCTCAATATCAAGTGCAGCTTTGTTGGCGTGCGCACGGGGAAGCGCTGGTTAACAGGACGTTTGTGATGCAGTTTCATTTCTTTCTGGTTTTGTTTGTTTTCGAGGTTGGCGTCATATTTGGAAATCAGTTAGTCATTTTAGAAAACCAAACAGATTTATTTTTGATTGCTCGAATCTTTATTTTCATTTTCGGTGCAAGAAATTAATTCAGTTGAACAATTTATTGTGAGTAGAAATGATAGAAAACACAAAGCTTCAATGAGAAAGCAGAGATTTATCAACTTTTTAACGCTTTTTTTTTTTTTTTTAAAGAATCAGCACAAATTGGTGCATGAAAATTTGACTAAACTAAATGCTTTTTTTTTGCACAAAATTTCCTGGATGGTGACCCCCAGACACCCTCCAGTCATATAAAAGAGAATTCATGGTAAGTAAAACTGGCCTGGTCTACATTTTGAAAACATCTGAGCATCTTTGAGCCACTTTTCCAGCCTCTACGCTGCTCAAAATCTGGTGTGAATGAATATGTATTGCAAACACAGACATAGATGCAGGAAGACATCACAGTAATAATTTAAATAAAACAAGACAAACCTTTATTATTAGTCAGTGGGGACATTTTCTAGTACTACAGCAGCATAAAGGGAAAGTTTGCAAACATGTAGGGAACACCAGTAGAAAATAAACGTACAGATTTTTACATGTGTGGATGTTAAGAAGTACATTAGATTTCTGTGGGTGTGGAAACTAACTGTCTTGCACAGATTCTTGTGTATGTAGAAAAAAATATTGCACAGAGTTTTTAAACGTGCAAAATATTCATGATGCGCGGTTACAGCCAGCATTGTGATTGTTTATCATTATTATTATTATATCGTACTTATTTTGTGTGTAATTACCAGCACAATTTTGCACCTTTATGTCTTCTCATAGCAGGATTTGCACACGACTTATTGTTTTGCACATTGTTTCCTCGTCTTGTCTGTCTACTGACGTATCTAACGGTCTCTCTGGACACATGTTTGTGTTGCAGCTTAGGTTGCTCAGAAAGTGGCTGAACAAACACTCGCACAGGAAGAGTACACTGTGAAGATATAAAGCGCAAATTCGCCACATTCAACCGAACAAATGTGACATCCAGGTGAATCCAGGAGTGAATGTGTAGCGCTGCCAGAGGCGGGAGTGTGATGATGTGGGGCTGCTTCAGTGCAAAAAGTACAGATGACATTTATACATGGCATTATGGATGCCTGCGAATATACCAGAATACTGGCTGACAGGAAAATGGCAATGACTCAAAACTTTCCTGAAATCACACAAAACCTGCTCACACTGATGCAAAATCCATCCAAATCCACTCAGAAAACGTTGCACCAAAGTGAAGTACGAACATTTTTCAGTGTGTTCTGGTGGGAGCAGGAGATCTGCAGTTGCTGTCACTGCTTTTCTTTCTGTGATTCTCTTTTTTTTTTAGACACCACACGCTGGAGGAAGCGTTTGATGCAGTCAAGACACCGAGGAAGTCGTGCAGTGCGCCATGTGACTAGCAGAGGGCGCCAGACATCCGTTTATTGAAGTGGTGGGTGGGGTTTGAGTGGAGGCTGGCGGTGGTAAATGAGTGTGAGCTCACATAGAGTTTTCACTAGACCGGCAGGCAGACGAGGAAAGGAAGGGAAGCTGAGCGCAAACAAAAGAGCTGTTTGGAGATTGTTTACGTCCTCCTCTGCAGTTTTCAGCTCGGGGGAGTCGGATTATTTCCACCATCCAGCTTGAGCCACTATTCAGCGTGAACTCTGGGAGGAATTTATCTCCTTAAGGTTTTGCTTTTGGAAGTAAAAAAAAAAAAAGAAAGAAAGAAAAACGAAAAAAAAAAATTGCGCATTTCTGGAACATTTGGATCCTACTGGAACTCGCTTTGACTCATTTCTATTAACCTGTGTCATTTCCCGGAGGACCCGGTGATGTCCTGCCACTGACATGCACCATCCGTCCAGGTGAGTTTTTACGCAGGTGACCGCAAGTGTTTGTGTGTTTTCCAAACAGTTAACTTCACCAAAGTGCAGTTTCGTTGTGCGCGCCCGGCGTGCCAGCTGTCACGCTACACACAGCCGCAGCTCCACAGCGTTTTATGACACTGTTTGTGATAGACAATAAAATAATAACAGCTTTAGAAAAATAAAATTAACAAAAATATGTTTTTTTTTTATTGGAAATGTCACTTTAATTTACATAAAGTTTATTTGTCTTGTAGTAAAACTATCTTAAAACACAAGATAACTGACTTTACGGCGCTGTGTTTTCATGTAATTTATAAAATAAGTGCTTAAAGTGAACATTTTCTGCTCTATGAGGGTTCTCCCGGGTGGGTTCAGTGCGTTTTGCAGCGATCCTCTGACATCGCCGGTTTGGCACAGCTGCGCACCGGCTCGTTTCCATTTATGAAGCTCTTAACCCATAAGTCAGCCGCGCAGATCGCATTTCACCCGGGACAGACACTGAGTTTGGTCTAAATTAAAGTTGCAAGCGCCGGTGCAGGTCGCTTTGTCTCCAGGGATGCAGAGAAGAACCTGCACATGATTTGCTGAACAGTGAGTGTGCAGTTGAACAAACTTTACTGTCTTCCGATCAATGCATATGTAACTATTGTCATCCTAACAGAGCAGAAGAGGTGATTTTGTTCATATATTAGTTATTATTTGACTTGTTTTGATCGAGGTCACTGAGTTCATCTTTGGTTTAATTTCGGTCAATCCCAGTTTATGAGTTGGGCTAAAATTTTAGGATCCATTCCCACTGCTTAACCTGCAGGTTTCCTGTTATTGCCTCTTAAGATAATGCGCATTTCTCAAACTTCAATGGATAATTTTGCTCTTTCATGAGCTGTAAGACTCTGGAGACTAAATCCGAGTAGTTCTTTGCGCCAACCAGGGGGAGGCGCACACTGATCACTCGGTTATGAGGAAGACAGCTACCCATGCAGAGGGCATAATCCAGGAGACGCGCACCTCCTCTGTGACAGCTGCTCAACTATTTTGATATTTTTGTCTTAATAGTAAAGCGAAACCCTGTCGCGTAGTCGAAAATGTCACTTTTTTTTCTTTCTTTCTTTTTTCTAATCTGGTGAGGCTTTTCTGCCCACGGAGACACAGAAACTATAACCTCCCTCTTTGTGCTAATAGGTGACTGCAGACGTGCTGCTGGACGGATTTCTGTAAACATTTAGCGCCGTGACACCTCATCAAATGTTTGGAAGTTTTCGGGCAAGCTCCGGTTTTCTTTCCTTCCCCCTTTTCCTCGTCTGCTTTTTCCCTCTTGGAGAGTTGGCGTGTCGGTGCCATTTCTCGGTGCAACCTCCACTTGTATCTCTCCTCCTGGCGCTCGGATCTGCACCGAAACCCCGCAGGGGAAGTTTAAACGTTCATGTGGCCAGAGGACGGTCGTCGCGTCCACTTGAAGCGCACTTCTTGTCGCCGTTCCTCCGTGCGTAAAAAATGCGTAAAAAGCGAAATGATGAAGATTTACATCACAGGTGTGTAACGCTGTGTTTGCCTGTAAATGGAGACGAGGTAATGAAAACCAGTTGGTTACAGTTTTAGGTTATTTCGGCACATAAGTAGGTCATTGCCACTGGGAATCTGTGCGCAGTGGAGGCTGCAGTGGAGCCTGGACAAACAGGAAGCGCTGCTACAGAAAATCATTTTAATGATTCCCTGTTGTGAGAATGTCACATTTACAGACAGAGTTTTGGTGATTAAAACCAAAACTATCACATATTTGTGTTCTCTGTGCAAATCATTTAAAATACAGCAACTTCACAAAAGTAACGTTTTACTGCATTTAACAAATTCCTCGTTAAATGTCAATAAGGGAGAATATTAGATCAGCCCGAGACACCGCCTGAGTTGATTTAACTCCAAAAATTAGATTTCCAGTCTGACTGATCTGGTTAGACGGATTTCTTTCAGGCTGTTTGTCTGTGACGCAGTTGAAGTTACTCCAGCCGCTTCCTTTATGCCGGATTATGTTTTTCCCGAAAGTCAAACAAAGATCTGCTTCACTCAGCAATTTCTGTCAAACAATGGACACCGGGTGGCCAGTTTGGACAGGAAACCCGGGCTGCCGCCTGGACAGGAACACATTCAGTACACATAGACTTACTCAAACTCTCGCTTCTCAGCACCCAGCTGTTGTCTGGGTGGCAAGTATAGAGAATATGGTAAGTTCTCAGAAACGCCGGTAATCGGTGAAGCTGTATTTGTTTTTTTAAGTTGCTGAGTCGCTGAGTTTGTGTAAAGTTGTTCAGGTTGAAATTACAGAAATCCAGCCGTTCTAAAGGAAATTTGGAACCTACAAAGTCCGGTCCTGACGCAGCGGCGCGCTGCTTCACCCGCGGCTCCAGATGCAGCAGAGACTCGGTGAGGCTGTGTTCTGTTTGGACACAGTGATGAGAGTCCAGGCTCACGGTGCCGCTCTGTTCACCCAACAGACCGCCAAATCCGTCCAATGGCTCGACCGCAGTAGCAGCGACAGAGGGAAGCGGAGCGGATCCAGAACCCGCCGGTGCCGCTGGAGCCTCGGCGCAAAAGTCCCGTTCGAACGAGGAGCGGAGCGTCGGGCAGCGCAGCTCCGCCGGAGGAGAGCCGGACTCACCGCCGTGGTGCCCGGCCAGCCTAGGCGTGTTTCAGACCAGGTCGATATTTCACCTCCCTCGCCGCTCCTCCAGTGGATATTTCTCCGCCGACGGTGCCGACTCGGTGCCGAGCTCTCCGCTCTTCCTGAAGCGACTGACGGCTGACAAAGCCACGCAGACTCGGAGCCCCAGCGGCCAGGTGATCGAACACGCCATGGGGCGCATGGCTGACGAGGCGCACGGCGGAGGACCGGGGACGCAGCAGCAGCACGGTGAGCTCAGGCACTCTGTACGCAGCTCAGTAGGAGCAGGTTGAGTCACAACGAGCTCCGACCAGTGTTGGAGAAACAGCTGCGGATAAACTCATATACAAGAGATGCGTTTTATGAAAAGAAAGTCGGCTGCACGTTAAATCTCTGCATGTAAGAAACCACGTAGACCTCTGAGATCCTCCAATGAGCCCTGAAATAATTCTCCCGCTGTCCATTTCTGTCCCTCCAAATCAGTGTTAATGCAGCAATAAAGGGCACACGAACGTCCAGCTGTTCCACACATGAACGCGCACCCTGATACTGTAACACTGATGTGTGTGTGTGTGTGTGTGTGTGAAAGTTGGCCTGACTCAGCCAATACAAGCCACTCTGGATGTTTTCACTGTGCGTTTGGCTGCTGCTGCTGCTGCTGCTGCTGTGTCTGTGTGGGTGTGCAGCAAAATATGAAACCAGATATGAGCCCATCACAAGCTCCCTGAAGCTTCCTTTATCAAAGACGGAGGGGTTTGGGCGGGTGGTGGTGCTGAGTGCTAACAATCAGTTAAAAAAAAAGAAAAAACACACCCGGGATGTTTTTTTTTTTTTGCTGTTGTTGTTTTTCTTGCTCTACTCTCCTTTTCTCTCACGAGATCTTACTCATGAGGGACGGTCTTGCTGTATTCTGTCAGATGAGTAACACGGTCGAGTATTTGTTTTCACATTCTGCCTTTTTGACTCTGTTGGCCCTTGAAGGGAAATCCAGAGACTTCAGGCACAAACATGCAGATGTAGAAACGCACTCAGGAGTCAGCAGCGCTGCCAAATCCTCCTCTGATGATTCCCATGTTTTCATTCCAACATAGTCGTAGTACTACTCTGCTTCCTATTGAGTCACGTCTACTTCCTTTGAGCGCGTAAAACCCTCCCAAAGTCCACGGGGGTAAACTTCAAACACACTCTGACATGTTCATTACCTGTTGGTCATACATCTGTGGAGACTGTTTGTATAAAAGAAGTGAAACCTTGACTAATCAAACATACATTCACATTAGTTTTAACCATACTTCCTGATCTGTCATTGTCATTTATCCACATTTTATTGTGTTGAGCTGCACTCGGAGGATTTATTCGACGTGCTGATGTTGGATTGTTGCCGTGGATTTACAGCTTTAAAGGAATCCTGCTGAGTCGGTTACAGGAAGGAGGACGGGGCTTGACTTATGGCTAAACGGACCACGTGACTTCACACCGAGAGGGCTTCACTTTACGATCGCCTCACTAAGTACTCCTCAGTTATGTCCTCCTCTCATCAATCAGCATTTAACAACCACTGAACAAGCTGACAAAGTGAGAAACATCGGTGCTGAAATGTATGGTTGAAATATTTGAAGAAGTCGAAATATTTGTGAATGTTGGACATTCTGACAAAGTGACGCCATTTAGTTAAAATTTACGGTTCACAGTCGCCATTTTCTGTCATTTTCAGTCACTGTTAACTTTTATTTCCGTTACAAAACTACTTGGCTAAGACCTCGTCCACACGTAGCAGGTTTTTTTAAAACCGGATCTCCTCCACCCTCCGTCTAGAACAAAACTAACGTACACACCACCTCGTTTTTAGAAGAATTCATCCACACCTAACCGCATCAGTGCGTTGTTAATAACTCCGACGACAGGAGCGACGACCAGGACGTACGGAGATTGTCACGCCATTCCTCCTGGAGCACGATTTCTGTCTCAAAGTTCTCCCACCGGCTGGTAGTGCGTCCCGGTTCTGACCCAAAACCGGCGTCGGTATCTCTGATGGAGAACATGCCTTGGACGTGGAATGGCGAGGTGGCGGAACATAACCGTCCCTAACGCCGTCCTTCGGCTGTGTTCCTGTAGCTGGAGCGGTATCTGGGTCTGGACCAGAGACGACACAGGTCTGAGGGCGTCCACGCTGTTTCTGAATGTAAACACAGGTCACGTATGTGATGTAATGAACAGATTTTGTCGCAGGCGGTGACGTTTCGAAACCTATAACCCTGGTTGTTGACGTCCACGTGCAGACGCATAAACAGCGGATTCGCAGATCTTCACTTTGGTTTTTGAAAGAATCGTTTTTAACACCGTAAATCTGCGTTTTCATGTGGATGACAGGCCGAAGTGTAGAAACATATCTTGTGAGATTCCCCGCTACGTGTGGACGAAGCCTGAACCAAAAAAAAATCAGAGGGTTTGAACTTACTACCAAACTGTCTGCTGGAGTTTCGTCAGTTCTCACAGCCTGAATCCTATTTTTACTTCTGTACAAAACACACAAGTCTATCACCTCCAGCAGCAGTGATCTAAAAACACAGTTCCCGCCGTAGGGCTTGTTTACATCAGCACGACTTTACAAAGAAGACTCCTGCTTTCAAACGCGATGCTGTCGGCGGCGGCTCAAGTTGGTTGGCGATAAACAGAACTGCGCCGGAGACGGAAATTTAGCACAAAAAAAAAAAAAACAACAACTAAATTTCCTCACAGTGCTGCTGCTCCGGATTACAAACGTATCCATGGCGTAGCGATACAGCTCCCTCATCCTGATAAGACTTTGTTTATCTCCGATTCTCCAAAGCGAGCAGGTGCAGAAACACACATTACGCTGAATCCGTGCGGTTCCGTATAAATCCTGCCCTTCCTGTTAACACCCCGGCTTTAACCACAAGCATATGTGTGCCTGCTATTTGTTTCTAAAGATAGCGGAGTTTTGTGAGTAAATAAAATCTCCGGAGGCTGAAATAAAACTTCCGTTAACCTCGGCTCTGGATGCACGGCTCGGCTTCTTCATAATAGCAGTGATTAGTTTCGCTGATTGCCTTGTGTCTGCTTTTATGCTCTCCCACTGCAGCCAGACAGACAAGATAGCAGTCATAACAGACCAGCGCTCGCACATGTGTGTGCATGTCATTCATTAAGTACGCCAATCAAAACGGGGCCTGGATGTGTGTGTTTTAGCAGTCAAAATAGGCCTGCAGGTCTTTTGTACGACGCAGACAGAAGCTCTTTGCATCTCAATCAGTCGGCTACATTCGCCAGATAAACACCACGCAGCATGTAATTCATCGTCCTCGACTCACAAAACGTCTCGCTTATCAAGATTTCTTGCCTGTTTGTGTGTCAGATGGCGAGATAGAGCGCTTAAGGAGGATCGCTTTATCGTCTTGTTGTTGTCGCTCAGCAGGAAGATCGCCCTCGCAGCACGGTTTCGGACAGGAACGGTCCGCTTGGATGCTTTTTTGTTTTTTTTTTGTCTTACACATGGTTTAATTGTAACGCAACCTCGGGGCTGCTTGCACAAAGATAGACTTAGCCCGAGGCTTTGATCTAACAAATAAACTTTTTAGATGGAAATCCAAGTCGGTGAGCTGCACAAGCGACTCAGTGTCCTCAGCTGGAGCGAATCATTTTGTATTCCGGGTTAAATTCAGACTCTTTTGATCCATTTTCCTCTAAATCCTTCTTTTATTGGCTTGCCTCTGAGCATTAGCCAAACCCATTATTAGCAGGTTGCCGTCCTGGTTTGTGAGAGCTTTCTTGGTGCAGTTACAACTGTATCGAGATGATCATGTTGTTGTTGTTGTTGTTGTTGTTGTTGGTTACTGTGGTTTCAGATAATCAGGGTATGAGACAGCATTCAAACATCTCCAGTGTCTCCTGGAAGCAGCTCGGCCTTCAAACAGATCACTGAATAAAGAAAATATTGTTTTAAACAGCAAGTAAGCTGGTTTTGTTTTGTCAGGAATCAGTTTGGATTTGCAGTAAGTTGATGAGGAAACCGGAGATATCTTCACTCGCTTGGACAAATTGGGCCATTTATTCACACAGGCGCCGCTTAAAAACAGCATGTTCAGCATTTTCAAACACCCTAGCGTAGCACATGGCGATTTGCGTCACGAGCAACGCCGCCGCCGCCGTGCCCGTATCTGTCATCAGCGAGGCGTTGGTGCAGCTCGATGGATTGATTTGTGAATCGGTCGCTTCGAATATTGGAGGATGTGAGAAATATTAAGTCTGGGTTTCATAACGGCGTGCATGAGTCATAAGCGGAGATCGGTAAGAGGTCAGAGTCTTTCATAGTCATACTGTAGTTCAGACTGAAAATGTAACAGATCAACCACGAAAACACACACACATGAACACACACACACACACACACACCACCCGGTCAGCTGATGGAGTCAACGCTGTGAAATTCATCATGTTTCTAAACTGTGAATTCGCTGCACGTTACTGGTGGTGAACATAAAACTACAACCATGACTTCTGGGGATTTTATCGTCGTGAGCATCTTCTGCAACATCAGACAATCTGAACCGGGTCAGATCTAAACCCAGCACCTGCTTTCTGGATCACACTGTTATCGAATTTCCTCAAAACGCTCCTGCTCATAGGTTTTTATAACTCCCTCCGTGGTGGAGCTCAACACGTACGTCACATGTTCAGTTCAGCGCACAGGAGCTCAGTTTGGCTCGTGGAAGACGTTCCAGTGAATGAGCCTCACAGTGAAGCTCGTCTGTCGTTTCTAATATCTTTGTTCTGAGGTTTCACTGCGTTTTCAAGTCTAAACCCCCGACCACACAGAAAGATGCAGATCCTGTTTGATTACATAGATGAACGTACGGCTTGCCTCAGTGGAGAATCTCTAAACTCTAAAAGAACGGGTGAAATGTCCTTTCCACTGTGTTTGTCACTCTCAGAGCTGAGTTGGCACGTGAAGGGCGCCGATGCTCGAACCGGCCGACCCGTTCTGCCGCCTGAATCGTGGTTCTGATGTGAAGTAACGCATGCTTTTGTGACCTTTCTGTTGCAGGACACTCGCTCAACCCCTCTAGCACTCGGCGGCGAAACGCAGGGGTCATGCAGGCAGAGGCAGTAGGACGAGCGCTCCGACGAATTGGAGATGACTACGATAGGATTCTCATGGTACGGGTAAGAGACGGCCAGTGTTTGTGTGTCTGTGTGTCGGAGGAGGGATGTGGGCATCGACAGCAACCGCCAGCAGATACGTTCGTACAGATGTTGACCAAAGTCCTGAAAACTGCAGTAGAGCAGCTGTTTTGTCAAATCCTGCTTTATTTTATCTTTTTTTTTATTATGGTGGGTTATCTTAGCTCATCCAATGTGAAGCCCCACGTGGAAACAGGCGGCGTGAAATGACCCCACTGAGAGACCTTCCATTGGTTCGACATGGAGCTGACGTCTAAATGTTACGCAACCAAGTTAAAGCTATAATTAGGTTACATTTGGTTTAGTGGTGGTGAGTTTAGTCGACATCTAGATCAAACTCACTGGTTGTTTCAGTGTCATTTTAAATTATACGGTGAAAATTCTAACGTATATGCATTTGAAGAAAGTCTTAGACGAGGAAGCAATACGACAAACTGGATCGACGTGGGACTGAACCCACTGCTTTGACGTTGAGTTCAAAGAAGACACCGAAGACTTATATTGCACAGAAAGGGCCGAGGGATGAACAATTTGTGGGCGGCAGTTCTCCATCTTAGATAAATACAGTTGTTGGATTCAATCCAACAATTTAATTCAAAAATTAATCCATAACACAAAAAGGCTATTAAAGGTGGAAATGTTAAGACAAATAAATAAAACAATAAAATAATAAAAACAATTATTATTATTATTATTATTTTATTTTTAACTGTTATATATTTTTATTTTTAATGATTGTTTTTTTAATTGTAATTTTTTAATTATTTATTTTATTTTATTTTTTAATTTTTTTAAATTTAACTTTTCATTTATTAATTTATTTTTTCATTTTTATTTTTTTAATAATGTCGCCTTAAAAGCAAAGGCACAGCAACATTCCTACTGCACACATTTTTCTGCACATATTTATTTTAAAGCAACATAAAAAATAAAAAAAATAATTAATAATAAATAAATAGTATTTTTTTTATTAAAAATTACAAAAATAGAAAAATTATTATTATTATTATTATTAATAATAATAATAATAATAATAATAATAATAAAATAAATAATTATTTTTTAAAAAATTGTTAAATTTAGTTGTCTTTATATTTCTACTTTTATTAGCCTTTTCTTTGTGGATTCATTTTCAATAATACTGCTTTATGTTTCCACATTATATATTTTTTCTTTTTCTTTTTATTTCCACTTTTATTTTATAACTCTTTCATTGATTTATTTTTGTAATTTGGCACTCTCCCTCCTCCGTAGACATATAACTGTAATAAGGAATTAAACTACTTGGGTAGAAGTGGTCTAAATGAAAACTGTGGGACAATAAGTTCAGTGTGGAAAGAAGAACAAAAGCAGAGGCAGGACTCTGAAGCGACGTCGTGGGTGATCTGAGGAAGCGTGTGACCAGCTGGTAGCTTCTGCTGAGCTCGGGGTGAGAAAAATAAAATGACCTTTGATCAGGAAACGAAGTCTGTAGCTGCAGAAAATCCTGATGCCACAATAACCACTGCTGTTAAAACAACAACAACAACAACAAAACAACCGTACAACACAACAAAAAAAAAAAACCTCAACAGTTTGGGGGCAGATGGGGGTAAAAGCCGCTTTTCTCTGCACAGCTCTGAGCCAATTTCCAGCAGTGGAAAAGAAACAAAAACAAAAGTTAGCGGTACAAATTGGGTGTTTTAAATGTGGTGAGAGCCACAGAAGCTCATTTTAAAGATGACGGTTGTTTGCTGAGCCTCGGCGGCAGCAGTTTACCTGCTCAGCTCTCAGACTAACGGTGCACACGGAGGTTTTTGCAGACTCTGAAATCGCGTGAAAGCTGCGTGAAAAGGGGAGTTTCACACCCAAATTGATTATTATGTGCGTTTGAAGTTGGCGTGCACTCGAGAAACTACAGTATTTTGGATGATGGATGAGTCCTCCGGCTCAGCTCTCTGACTGCAGCGTGAACGTACAGATGATGACAGACGATCACGCTATCGTCAGGCGTCTAAATCCTCTGAATGGTGCAGCCGTAAAGTTGTGTAGCTGCAATAAGACTTAATTTCCTCTTGGCTTCTGTCTCTTTGGCAACATTTCTGCATGTTGCATCATCCCGGTTTTATTTACTCCTCTATCAAAGAGCTGAGTGGAGCTCTGGGACGACGGCAGAGGAAGCGGGGAGAAAATGGGTGCTAGTTTGAATTGGCTTTAATCTCATCAGAGAAACGGGTTAAGAAATGAAAGTGAAGAAAACGCATGACAGGACTATTATATCCCTGTGAAGAGCTTAAAACGCTCCCTGGGTGTCAAAAGCTTAACAGCTATAAAGCTACACGTCTCCGCTGGAGCAGTTTAATACATCAGAAGTCTGCTTCTCCCTCTGCGTTTAATGCTCGGGTTATTTATGAGCAGCAAACAGGAACAGAGTTAACCCTCGCTGCCTTCTTGCCTCTGCAGCTTTTCCAAACCAACACAAACTTGGCTGCAAAACCCTTAAAATCTTAAATGCACGAGTGTTTTTCAAACACCTCTGATCTCCAGTAGCACTCACACAATGCAGATTAAACCATGTAATAACATCATATTGCATGTTTATCATTCCAAATCATTTTTTTTTTTTACCATTCATTAATATTTCTCAGCATAGACGATCACATTTCATATTTATTTCGCCGTATCTTGCACACAACCTTCTGTAACTTTTGATAAATGGACATCTCAACTCCAACTGATCACATTAATAGTAGCCACTTGCATCTTTTTGTTGAAGCTGAAGCTCTTGCATTTTTTGGAAATCGTGGAACTACTTTTCTTTCCTCCAGTCATCGCCAATGAAGACCAAAGTTCTTTCAAGGATCTTTTTGCTTCCCAAGTTCACAACTTATCCCGGAAGACTAGAAAGAACTGGAAGGTAATAATCATCCCGTTTCCGTGAAGGCAGTTCAAAGGTTGGTCAGTGGCTAATCGATTGCCACAGAGCTGGATCTCAGCCAGGAGCAGCGTCATAGATCCCTTCGCTTGTCTAGAACCAAGAAAAGCCAACATCTGGTGCTCGAACACCAACTTCTGTTTCCTGCAACGCTGACTGCCAATATAGAAATATCAGACAGCAGGGAAAATAAGTTGAGTAATGACCTCCGTGGTTTTCAAGTAGTGGTCCACGGGAAAGAGAAACTATCTCTCTCACTGTGGTTTTCAACAGACATTCACGATAAACTGGAGCAAGCTACGATAATGAAACCAGTGTTGGACCAGACGAATACAGTGACTGTCGTCTGTGGTGTTGTTAGGAGGTTCCAAGTTGAACTAACCAGCTCTAGCACCAGCCCAAAACCAGTTCGCAGAGATGAAAATATGGTAATTATCAGTCAACTTCTGTAGGATTAACCAATTGAACGGTATCTTGACTTCATTTCCATTCAGAGCTCGTGTTGTCGGAGGCAGCTTTACTACAGTTTTGCTTTTGAATCATACATGACACTAAAAACAATCATCATCAGTGGCCCCAGGCATCATCATTTTTACAGCTGATGTCACATAAAAAAAAAAAAATGCAGCTCTGCACTAAACCTGTAACTCAGGTGCTGCATTGCTCATGTGACTGGTAATGAGGTAATAAAAGCCAGCCTCATGACGTCAAACTGGGGGGAAAAAAAACGTGACCTGTTATCATTTGCATGCAGCATACTGTGAAAAAAAACAGTGAGGAATCGTTTGAGGAATAGCAGGGACTTCAGTGTTTAACTAAACAGCACGACAGCCATCTTTATCAGTTTCTACATACATCACATACGTTGTCATCGCACCAAGCAAGATGCAGGAATCAGTAGCTCAACAGATAACACCGTTGCCGCTCGGCACACTGACGTCAGGAAGAATTTGATTTACTCCACATGTGAAAGATCCCGCGAGCTGGGATTCGGTACAGGGTGAGTGTCATGCAAGGCTTTGGCACCGACGCCTGTGATTCAAGCTGCAGAGGAAAACAGTGGGAGTCCGGATAAATGTGAGAACGAAATGAGTTAAGGCTGTGACTCTACAGCTAGTCACACAACAGGGGGACGGCGTACAGAGAAAGAGAAACAGAAGTGTGTGTGTGTGTGTGTGTGTGTGTGTGTGTGTCATTGAAGTGGGTTGCTGCTGTAGAACAATGAGGAGGCAGAGAAAAGAGGAACGTGGAGCCATGTTCCCTGTTCTGTTGGCAGGTGATGCCGCTCTGTGGACATGAGCACATGCTTGGTTACGCATGATTTCAGAACCGCAGAAACAAGACGTTTTTTTTTCATCTTCAAAGTGTAAGAAAAACGTTTCTCTTGGAGGTAACATGAACCAGAACATTCGGTTTGGTGCAGTTCTGCTAGAAATGCAAAGATGATTGAATAAACTAATGACTGGATGTAAGTATGTAAGTGTAACCATGATGGCACAAAGTGGCAAAAACACTTGGACACCTCTAGGGCTGGTCCGAATAGCAATTTCTGTTCTCCAGATTTTCGGCTCCCACTAATGACGAATGTCCCGAACATTTGGGGGTGCTACAAGGTGGTGGTAGGTGGGTATTTGTTCTGATGGGGGATGGGGGATGGGGGATGGGGGGTGCGACAACGGGCCACTAAGACCAGTTTAGGTTAGCGGTCACGGCACCGTTTCCGCGGGAATATTCGGAGATCAAAATTGATATCCTGATTCCAGCACAGCCAACAAATAGACGGCTAGTCGGGTCCAGCCCTCGACACCTCAGACATGCATGCTTAATGATAGCACAAGAGAGTCGATCAGTTTGAATGTGGGAGAACCAAAAATGTAGGAAGGTGTTCATATACAACTAAGACAAACATTTCTGGACAGAGGATCTTGCATCCTTAATTCTGATTAAATCCTTACATAGCAGCCTGTGAACCAAACCTCCGTCCTCCACTGTAGTGTTTCCTCCAGTACGTTGAAGATTAAGTGTCGAGGCAACTCAACCGTTCATGTCCAACCTACGCACA